CATCACTCTGAGTTACCTAAAATAATAAAAGAGAGACTAGTCATTGTGCAATATAATTTATTTGTTAATATTTCGACAAGGCTTAAGTTGTTTAACAGAAACACACACACACACTAACAACAACAATAAAATGGAAATGGGCGTCTGAACAAAAGAATGCCCCTAACGAAGGAACTTAACTGGCTAATTGTAATGTATGGTGTTACACTTCATAAAACAGGCAAAAGTTAGGATTAGCAGGAAATCTGACTCTAATCAGCGACTTGGCAACACTGCGAAGTTGCGCATGCGCTGTGAGGGGGAAACAGGGGAACTGAGTTCGCCGGAACACCGGAAGTGGACGGTAGGCAAACATGGCGGCGTTGATGGGTGAGTACACGAGCTTGATCTTAGGCGATTTAAAATCTCTGCATGGCGCATTATATATGTATATATATATATGTGGGATACATTAGATGTAACTAAACTACATCGCCTCTTCAGTTGCTGAAGGAATTAATTCGTGCTGTGAAGGACTTTGCTCGCTGACGTTGTTACTCAACACTAGCCGCTAGATGCTAACAACTCGCATTATTTACAGAATAAAGTTGTGCAAAAATATGTTTTATTATGTATACCTTTCAAAGTCAAAAAGCCACTCAGACAGGCGATGTGCAGTGAGTTTTGTAAATCAGTGTCACAAAGTTGATACCTAATGCTTTAATAAACCCTTAATAACGCAGAAGTTTCAAGAATTAATTGAGTGGATTATTTATTGCCGTTTTTAAAAATGTCTACTCGACCAGATGCTGAGCATTGATTTAAGCACAGTAATTATTGTAATGTTTGTAAGTATTGTTATGGTTTATTAGTTTTTGCCGTTTATATTTTGAGATTGAAACACTACTACACAGACAGTTATGGTAATGTGTGTGTGTATGTGTATATATATATATATATATGTGTATATATACACACACCCATAACTTTTAATAACGTGTTATTTCAGTTCCCCGTCTTCCTGCCCTTGGCTCCTTTAATCTAAGGTAAATTTTGAATTAGTTTTAAGAATTTTATTTATTTATTTAATTATTAGTGTATTTTTTTCCTTATATTTAGCAAATTTTGTAAAATGTCGTTATTTATTTTTTTTAAACTTGTGTTTGTAATGTAGGGCCATTTCATCGTTTTCTGCTCATAAGAAGGTTCCTTTGACAGACAGAAAGGATGAAAACACCTCAAGGTGCGAAGTGGATGTCTTTTATGGTTGTATGTTATAAAATAACTCTTATAATGAGTAGTAATTATTAACTGAGCATACCCTTCTTTCCAGTCTGGTCCCGTTCAGAGAGAAAAGCACAGCTCTGGCCCCAAAACAAGCTTCAGCGGTCAGCAGCAAGGGTGAATACATCATCACCAAGCTGGACGATCTGGTCAACTGGGCACGCAGAGTACGTCTTTCTTTACATGTTTCGTAAAGACATCAAATACACTCATTCAAAAGTTTGGCGTCAGTAGATGTTTTTCCAATGTTTTTAAAAAGACGTCTCTTCTGCTCACCAAGGTTGCATTTATGTGATCAAAAATAGTCTAAAAATTGCTAAATATTATTGTAATTTAAAATAACTCTTTTGTATTCGAATGTATTTTAAAGTGTAATTTATTTCCACAATACTTTTTCAACATTATAAGAATTCAAAAGAACAACATTTATTCCAAATAGAAATCTTTCGTTACGTTATGTCTTTACCGTCACTTTTGATCAATGTAATGCATCCTTGCTGAATAAAATTGTTCATTTCTTTAAGGGGGTCATATGATGCTTTTTTAAAGATCATTATTTTGTGTATTTGGTGTAGCAGAATATGTTGACATGCTGTAATGTTCAAAAAACACATTATTTTTCAAATACTGTACATTATTGTAGGTCCTCTATGCCCCGCCTCTCTCAAACGCTTCGTTTTCTACAAAGTCCCTCCTTCCGACAAGCGCAGTCTGCTCTGATTGGCCAGCTGACCCAGTGCATTGTGATTGGCCGAACACCGCAAGCACTC